AAAATCTGTAAATTAGAATATCTGATTCTATATTCTTTCTACATTAAAGGAGCGTTCATTTCGTTCGTTTATCATAAAAAATGTAGAAATTACACCATTTTTAGAAACATGCTTACAATTCCATTGCCCTAGAAGGGCGGGCATTTAAATAAACTCCGTCCAGCTGCCCCTACCGGAAATTAAATGGCCCGTCCAATAAAGGTTAAATCCCTGCAAATAATGAAATGTAGATAAGCACTATATAGTTTATTCAAAATAGCTTCTACAGTCCTTATAAAAAGTAAAAAAATTCCCATTGGGAGACCTGTAAATCGATATTATACAAACAGTTGCTGAGAGCCACAAATTCCACCAGTCCTATGGTAGTTGTTCAGATATGCCCAAGTCCAGCCTCTTATATCAGAGTACTTGATAATTGTTGGTGTCTTGAATGATAATGTAGTATCTGTAATAAGTATTTCATATGCGTTATGGTGTAATCTTTTGACAGGTCATGCCCTTCAGAGCAAGAACGAGTAAGTCACCAGTACCAGAGATACTCAGTAAGGAGAAGAACAAAAGTCTGAAATCTGACCTAAGATCTGCAAGAAAACGGCAGAGTTGTAAACTCTGTGCATAACATAACACCGAGGGAGAGTTGTATTCATGTTTATCTTTGATGAAGATAATGACTTGTACACTCACTGAGCATGTCTTCCAAGTATTCTGCACACTTTGTCAACGATTGTGTTTAATTCCTTCCAGTCTCTGACAGAAATATTCAATTTCAGACAGAAAACAAGAAGTACAAAATGAAGAGCACAAAGTACTGAAGGTGACAGTGTAACTTTAAATTATTTTATTTATTAATGGTATTTCCAGCTTTGAAATCACAAGGCATACTTGAGGGCTGTTTTCCTTATCACCATTGTGTTTGGTCTGTAAGTTTTCATAGCTTAGGATGAACTTGTTATGACACTTCTGTTATCACTGTCCTTAGAGAGTCATTTTATTCTCTAGCTTGAAAGTTGTATGTTAACAATTGGAGTTTAAAATATTTAGCAAATTGAGAATAAAGGGAGATTCTGAACCATAACTTTTGTTCCTTTTCATTTTATCTTTATGATTTGTTCTCCATGCTAATCCCCTTTTCCAGTTTTGTGCTTCTTGTGATTTTTCTCCCTTTTGGTGAATGAGAGAACAAAGACTATGCAAATTGACAAATACAATCAACATGCATGAAAGAGGCTAATAAATAACACTGCAATACTTGTGTCATTTGTGTGTATTCTTTGCACGATGTTCATGAAGTGGCCATAGACATGGTTAGTCATATATATCTGACCGTCCATTGTGTCTGAGCTAGATAAAAGTGGATGGGGTTTAATGAAATTTTTTATATGCATTATGCCACTGCAGTCTACCCCAAATTTGTAATATCTAATTTGCTAAAATCAGGAACACTAGCATGATGAACACAAGAACTTGTTAGGTGGGAAAACCAATTCATATATGGTACCGAAATTTAATTTGATGAGACAGTTTTGAAAAATATGCAGTTCTTGCTGAGTTTTTTCTAATCTATATAAATAAAAATGTAAGTGTTCGTTTGTCTCTCCTTGAAAATCTCCGAAAGTTCTTCACCAATTGCTTTGAAATTTTGACACAACGTTGTATTCGAACACGCGCGTTTTTATATGCCTATTATATAGATGTCATGCCCGTGACAGGTAAAAACAGGTAAAAAACGTTATACGTCATCCATCAAATACAAAAAGATCATTGCCTAGGAATAACCATGGCAACGAACTGTTGAAACAGCGGATCGCTGCCTAGGAATAACCGTGGTAACGAGCTGTTGTGGCAACGAAATTTTCGTTTTGATTTTATTATTTCGTGTTACATTGCGTTGGAATTGGGCCGAGTCGTTTACCGTAGCGTTCATTTCATGAGTATAGTTTATATTTGTTGTTTTTCATTTCGTTTTCTTACCTGTTTCCCTTATTTTCCGGTGCAATTGGCGGTGGGATTAGGCTGTGTCGATTGATCTGCGTTTGAATTGAAATATTTCGTCAGTATATTTTATTTTTTTTTGTTTCTTCTTTGTTTTCCAGTTCATGTGCTTTCCTTTTTTAATGTTTTGCAATTTCATATGTTTTTGTTATAACTTTCTTTTTTCTTTGAAATTTTGACACAACGTTGCATTCGAACACGCGCGTTTTTATATACCTATTATATAGATGTCATGCCCGTGACAGGTAAAAACAGGTAAAAAACGTTATACGTCATCCATCAAATACAAAAAGATCATTGCCTAGGAATAACCATGGCAACGAACTGTTGAAACAGCGGATCGCTGCCTAGGAATAACCGTGGTAACGAGCTGTTGTGGCAACGAAATTTTCGTTTTGATTTTATTATTTCGTGTTACATTGCGTTGGAATTGGGCCGAGTCGTTTACCGTAGCGTTCATTTCATGAGTATAGTTTATATTTGTTGTTTTTCATTTCNGCATCCATCAAATACCAGTAGATCGTTGCCTAGGAATAACTGTGGCAACGAACTGTTGAAACAGCGGATCGCTGCCTAGGAATAACCGTGGCAACGAAATTTTCGTTTTGATTTTATTATTTCATGTTACATTGCGTTGGAATTGGGCTGAATGGTTTACCGTAGCGTTCATTTCGTGAGTATAGTTTATTTTTTGTTGTTTTTCATTTCGTTCTCTTAACTGTTTTCCTTATTTTCCGGTGCAATTGGCGGTGGGATTGGGCTGTGTCGATTGATCTGCGTTTGAATTGAAATATTTCGTCAGTATATTTTATTTTGTTTCTTCTTTGTTTTCCAGTTCATGTTCTTTCCTTTTTTAATGTTTTGCAATTTCATATGTTTTTGTTATAACTTTCTTTCATCTTCTTCAGAGCAGTCGTTTCCCTATTAACGCTAGAACAGACTGTTGCATAGGATAATAAGTTCCATTGCGTAACAATGGATGAAAATGGAAAGTATACTTCCATGGAAACGCAAGTATCACGGGGTCACGAGTATCACAAGAGATTCCGAGTGAAATCAAAGCAGAAACAGTTTCGAGTTATTTTCATTTTTTTTTTTTAATATTGCGTTGGAATTGGGCTGTGTCGTTTACCATAGTGTTCATTTCGTGAGTATAGTTTATTTTTCATTGTTCTTCATTTCGTTTTCTTTACTGTTCCCCTTAGTTTCCAGTGCAATTGGGGGTGGGATTGGGCTGTGTCGATTGATCTGCGTTTGAATTGAAATATTTCGTCAGTATTTTTTATTTTTTTTTTCTTCTTTGTTTTCCAGTTCGTGTTCTTTCCTTTTTTAATGTCTTACAATTATTTATGTGTTTAAGATAAGACATTGTATAAATATCTATATATATGCAATAACTTTCTTTCTTCTTCAGTTCAATCGATCTGCTTTAGTTCATCCAAATAATGCCTTGCAGAAGATCAAACTTAGGTCGTCGTACTCGCGGAGTGGAAGCAATGCGTCGAGTAATTTCAAATCAAACTGGGGAAGAACAAGCAGACTGAGCCACAGCAAGGCATGGCCGGGCACAGCTAGTATAAAATAAAATGATAATGGCTATGTGAATCTATCAGTTCCACTGTCAGTTACTATTCAGCAAATAGAGGTACATCATACACATTCCTATAAATCCTGTAGTAAATATTGCTTTACATCTATGACTAAAACATGACAATGGAGGGAATTCGCTCAACTCTCGATTATCCGGTGGCAGATAAACTGGTTTGTGGCTTAACTAGGGCTTTTTGAGGCTTATATGTTTTTTAATATTCATTCACTTTTGTAAGTTTTGAGGTTTTCACGGCGATGACAATGAAGAAGTCGTCTTCTGCCTACTTCGTATATAAGCAGCACCTTTCACATCCTATCACCACAGCTACTGCTCTCCGCATTCCAAGCCATTCAACTGCTCTGAAGATGGAGGCGCTACGTTCCTCCGAAACGTCGGCCAAAACGAAGAATACACGGTGCCTAAACCCAGAAGACGACTTTCTTCATTCACTTTTGTTTCACATGGTGAGTGGTAACACTATTTTCGCACTAGTGTGAACCGACCTCTGCATTTTTTGGTCCCGTTATGCTAACACAATGTTCTAGGGTAGGGGTAAAAGAATGTAAGGATTTATGGAAAGTTTCAAGGACAGACACACTGCCTCAGTTAGTCTCTTTGTATCGATCTTCAAGTGCGTTAGCAAAATGTCAGGGTGTAAAAGGAAGCCTGTTGTGTTAAGTATTCAACAGAAACACGTGTGAGCCAGGCTTCGAAATGTTAAGCAGTGACGAAATCGTAAGTTCAGTGGGGGTGCAGCCAGAAGAGCGGGAAGAAAGTGAGAATGAGGAAGAGGTGGACAGTGCTGCTAGTAAGAAAATATCACATGGTGCTGCTCTTAATCATTTGGAATCCTTACTAGACTATCTTGAGAGTGAAGAGAACAGTTTATTACGTGACAAGCTAATATTACATAGGCTTCGTATGGATATTCGTAAAAAGGGAAATGCCACGAAAAAGCAAACGACAATAATAATTTTTTTTAAGTGTTGAGTGTGAATATTCGTAAAAAGTGTTGGATGTTGTTGAACACTATCATTGAAATAACTAATTCATACTTCAGTGTAATGTAAAAAAGTATTAAATAGGCCATGACATAAAAATGAGGTTGAATAAATTTAAATACAGGTAGGCCTATAGTATTATGAAGAGACAGCATTACAGTACTACTTTTAATAAAATTTGTCTTAACCGGGTTTTTGATTAATCGTGATTTTCATCCCCACCATTATCCGGATAATCAAGAGTTGAGTGTATTTGTAAGACAAATTTAAACTTCCAATCTATATAAATAAAAATGTAAATGTTCGCTTGTTAGCCCTCGAAAATCTCTGAAAGTTCTTCACCGATTGCTTCAAAATTTTGACACAACGTTGCATTCGAATGTGCACGTTTTTATATACCTACTAGCTGTACCCGGCCACACGTGAATCCGGAAAGTATACTTCCATGGAAACGCAATAACAGTTGCATACGAATTGCCAAAACAACAAACGTGTTTCCCCGGAGGATAAGAGGTTCTGTTGCATAACAATGGATGACACCGGAAAGTATACTTCCATGGAAACGCAATAACAGTGGGCCGTTGCATAGGAAATGCCGAAACAACAAACGCATTTCCCCAGAGATGAGAGGATAAGAGGTTCCATTGCGTAACAACGGATGAAACCAAACACTTCTACAAGGTGTTCTGTGCTAGCATTTCCTAAGCAACAGATGAAACTAACTCTTCATAAGGTATTCCCTATCCCGTCCGAACGCTGGCTATATGTATAAGAGGGTGTAGCTCCGGCGACTGTTCAGTATCACGAGTGTCTCGAGTATCATGAGGTCACAAGTATCACAAGAGATTCCGAGTGAAATGACAGCAGCGATCCTGAGTTTGCACTCAGAGTTTTGGATTCGACTCTGGCAGCATTTCCCCGGTGATAGACAACAGAGGCTGTGTCAATTTCGTTAGATCAAGCCACAGCAACGCGTGGCCGGGTACAGCTAGTACGTAAATAACCATGTTCACAAAATGTATGTGTAAGAGATATGAGCACTCAGAATGTAAAGCTTCAAAAAGTAGAAATTCTTGTGTGTTCTAGTGTGGACGCTACCTTTCTAATTTTGTTTAAACTGTGTGAACAGCCAATGACAATCATCATCATCACCATGGTCACCTACCTTGTGTTTTGTGTTCTTGTCTTGTAAATAAACAATCACTGGAGCCAATGTTTTGTGTCACTCTATCAGGCTATTCATTTATCAGCATCTAGATTTCCATCATTCACAATCTCAAGCCCATTTCGTTTCAGAAAGTGTAATTCTTTCCTCTGTATGATGATCATTGAATTTAAATGCTTATTAGATTTTAATTCTTAGAAATATATTCATTAAACATTACACTTGTTATCAGCTTACATATTGTCATGATTTAGGGATGTGACTACAGATGGGGCATGGATTTATTGACCACTTATTCACACCACACAGAAGAACAAGTAATCACAGCACTGCCATTAATCTTCACACTTTACAAATCAGCACAGCATGCACTAAGCCTATTTCCAGCCTGCTGTGTCTTCATCAGCCATTCCTGGGCAACAGCTTCTAACAGTGGAGATTCTTCAGCTTTGTGCACTCAGGTCCTCTTGTCACAGCCTCTCATGTAGAAATCTGATCTCAGCTATCAACTGAAATGTAGTGCCATCTCTTCTCAGCCTACCTTGCAGAGCTCAGCTGGACTGCCAATTCTCAGCTGACTCTTCATCCAGCCTGGAGTCCTCACTATATAGCCTTGGGGTAGACCCAACAGAAAACACTGCCTCCAAGTTTCTCTATTGTTGTCATAGGTGGTTGCCTAGTGAATAGCCGGGATATTGTTTGTGTGGGAACGTGTTTATCGAGCCATAGCTCAGAAACGACCGTTTATTTACCTACTGCATGTGGTAGCATAGTTGATTGAGGCACTGTGTTACAAGCCAGAGTTTTGAGGGATCGAATTCCAATGAGGTGGACTTTTTCAATTTACCTGATCCTTCCAGCCGCACTATGGCTGGGTTAACTCAGTCTCTAACAGAAATGAGTTAACAAAAATATTCTTGGAATATTCTTTGGGGTAAAGGATGGCCGGTGCATAAGGCTGACAACCTTACTGCCATTTAGGAGCCAATTGCCTAGAAAATGTGGGAACCTCAACACCTCACAACCCTATGGGCCTCCACGGCCTGGTACAGGGATACCTTTAGTTTTACTGCATAGAAATGGCTGTACTCATTGTTTGCTTAAAGGTCTTTGCCTAGCAACAGGTCTATACTCCACAATATTCTACCCTTATATTGGACTTGATTACCTTATGGACTTAATGTGGTTCGTTTTCCACTGCAACTGTGTGCTTGTTAATTTTCTCATTTATTTTGGATAACAGTTCAAACAAACTGCTGTTGGTTTCATGATATTTTTACTCTTCATTTAGCATTCAAAACAGCTAAATGAGAAAGTTTCATTTTATATTCAGAGCTCAATTCTTTATTTGCATTACCAATATTCATCACAGTTTTGTTCAACTGCTGCATATGCATATTTGTTATTTGAGATATGTGCTGGAGTAATCCCACAGTAAAAACAGTGGCCTGCAGTTGAGCCATTTGCTTGATTCTGGCTCTGTTTCAGCATTGTATTGTTTTTGTTCTGCTGTTATGTCATTCCATCCTGCCAAGCTTCATGCCATGTCAAGTTTCTCTTCCCTGGCTTACCATTTAACATGTTGTCCTCATGATGGACTTGTCAGCTAATTTTGGACCAGTTAGTGTCCACTTCTATTCTGGTTCCAGGCTGCATGAGTGAAAATAAGGCAACCTCCTGTCAGCTGTCAGAAAGCCTGGTAAACAGATGTATTAAAATTTTTGAGGTTTTCATGGCGGTGACTATGAATAAAGCAGTCTTCTGGGATATGGCACTGTGTATATGTGGTGTTAACTGATGTTTTGGAGGAACGTATCACCTCCATCTTCAGAGTAGAAGGAAAAATATATGAAATCCGCAAGTGAAGAGACCGTGAGAACCAGTACAAGCAGACTGGTGTTGGAAATATACACAGCTATGAGAGCAGTGAAGGAAGGGGGGGAAAGGACAAGTCTACATGTGAAATCAGTGGTGTGGGAGGGGGGGAAAGGTGCTGGGACAGAAGCAGGGTTCTGTGTTGGGGGAGAGAAAGGCAAGGTTAAAGGATGGGCACTAACCCTTAAGCTGGGGGGAGGGGGGGTTGATATGTTGGTCGGTCATGACCTGTGTAGCCTTCTGGATCTGGCATCATCTTTCAGATGTATTAAAAAATTGAAAAATTGATTTGATTGATTTATACAAGGTGTGGGTATAAAATAACAGGACTGATGTGAAAAAAATGGGTTTATTTTCAAAATGTTACAAATAATTTCTATCCCTTTCAACATACTCTCCCTCCCCTATCTATACGCCGCTGCATACAAATTTTTCATTGTTCAAAGCAGTGCTGCAGGTCATCAGCTGACACCCTGTTTAGCAGGTCTGCCGTTTTTTATTTTACCTCATAGACAGAGTTCCTTTCAATGCACTTTTCAGTTTGGGGAACAGGTAAAAGCCACAGGAGGCTAAATTCGGTGAATATGGGGTGTTTGAGCGCTGGAATGCATTAATCAGCTAAAAACTGCTTAACCGCGAGGCTGTTATGAGCTGGCAAATTGTCTTGATGAACAATCCATGATTTCTTCTTCCAAAATTCAGCAATTTCTTCCTCAAACGTCCTTGGAGCTTGGTCAGGACCTCCAAGTAATACTTTTCATTAATTGTTTGACTCTCAGATCAACAATTTCACTGATTTTCTAAACATTTTCTTCAGTTTTTGACGTTGAAGGGTGTCCTGGATGTTTGTCATCTTCCATCTTCTCCTGACCTTCCATGAACTGCTAGTGCCATTCAAAAACTCACATGTGTGATATAACATTATCACTGCATGCCTCCTTTAACAGTTGGAATCATTCTGTCAGAGTTGTTTTTCAATTACACAAGAAATTTCAGATTGATGGGCTGCTCAATTTTCATCCTAATCTTGGATCCAGCAGAGCAACACAACATGATCAGACTCAAACAAAGCTCAGAGGCAAACCAACTGACATAGTGAGATGAGTCCAGTCTTGTTCGATATGAGAAGGTTCAAGGTCAATTACCATTCACTTGCTACCCCAGTCCTACAGGTTTCTCTGGTACAGTGTATGCAGTCTTGTTCTTTTATAGCCACACCTCGTATAGTGTGTGTAAATTATGTTTGGTGTTGTCCAGGAAGATATTCTTAGATTTCACATACATGCCCTGAGTTCACTCTGACAGCCACAGAATCACACCTATTTCCTCTTTTGAAATTACTGTCAAGTAAAACATTCTAATTTTAATTATTCTTTTCTCCTGACCAAAATATAATTTTAAGGCCAATGCTTCACATAATTATAACTTGAGAAATTAACAAACTAATAACTTGTCTTTATTCATAATATTTGTTTTCAGAGGTTACTTTTGTGTGTTTTTGCTATTATTGTCTGCAATTTGTCATTACAGTTATGTAATAATCCCTGATATCATGACAAAATTTCATCCTCATGAATATTACAGAGTATTTAACCTTGTTATATATGCACCCTGCCATAATTGCAGGGATGATGGCGAAGTGCACAATTATGACTAAAAGCTAGGCCCACACTTTAAAATACCTGTTCTAAAAGCTGTGAAAGCTTAGGGGAAAGTTGTCCCTAAGCATCACATGTAAACAGGGACAGACAGTTTGTTCTCACCTTGCATATCTTGCCAAAGTTTGGAGGTACAATAGCAGGTGAATCATCAGGGACCATCCAGGTGAATTCAACAGAAGAATTGCTGACATCCAACTCATTTGTTATTCTGGCTGCAAGTTATCTTCTGTGCCTGATCAGACCAGTTCATTCCCTGTGAGGTAAAACACACAGTTAATTAACAATATGAAGCACTGTATTCTCAAGACAATAACATCTGTCAAAGTAAACTGAGAACATTTCACTTAGTATTATTAGTTTCCTGGACTTTGTTCACCATCTGAGATTCTGGAGATAAGATCACACCATCGTGGGAGCTGTATCTGTTCCCATCCTCTACTTCAGTGTTTCTCAACTGCCAGGCCACAGCCTGGTACCAGGCCCTAGCATCATTTGTCTATATGTTCATATGTAATTTAGAAATAGCTGGTTCTATTTCAGTTGAATGACTACAATTTTATAAGTTCAAATTTTATTATGGTAACAAATATAAAACAAAACTTCCCCCCCCCCTTTACAGGAATTTTGGAAAAAAATTTGAATTAAAAAAAGATCGGAATAGAGAAATAAAAAGGTGAAGTTTCTCCTGCACTTAATAGGTTATGAATATATATGGAGGAGTGACCTTGTCACTAAATGGAGGTGGGTAGTCAGCTTAACACCCTAGCTAGTAGTACTCAATCGATAGGAGGCAGGGTGGGCCCTAGAGCCAGTCTATCCTGGACACTATGGAGTAGAGAAAAATTCTGTTGGCCTTGGCAGGAATGCAACCCCAGCCATCCAACCTGTGGCTGTATTGACTGAATTATGTCGGCTCCAAAGAAGCAAATATACAAGTCTTCAAAACAAAAACTATTTGTAAGTGGGGCACTATCTATATTTCAATATAAAAGTTCACAATTCTAGGGTGATCCATAGATATATTTTTGAACAGCTTAACTTTCTTAAATAAAAGTAGTTTTAATGTGCCTTATAATTATAGATCTGTTGGAATGATTTGTATCAAATGTTATATTGGAAGTCCTTCCACAAATTTGCAAAAACATAAAAAATTTCTTAAAACTGGCAAAACAGAAGTGGTGTTACGCATAACAGTCTAATGGATTGATCAGCCATGCAATTCATTTGGTAACTGAAATTTGTAGTTTCTTGCAAAACATTCATGCAACTTTACAAAAACGTTATGTTATTGTGTTTCATGTGGAGTGATAATTGCATGCACAAATAAAGAAAATAAGAAATTGCTGCTACCAAGATCTGAACCCCAAACTTCATATATGGGAAACCTTGACATTGTCTACTATACCACTGAGCTAGAGTTCATGAGAGTTGATACAGGTATTCTAATGCCAGCGGGCCACTCTAGTGGCCCAGCTAGTACAAGCGAAGAATGCCAGCGGGCCGCTCTGGTGGCCCTGCTGTCTACCAGTTTCTAAACGCCTGTAATTTCTTTCTGTGGTTTCAAATGTCGCGCTATTATATACCACTGTGTAGATCGATGTTTGAAGTCTAAGAAACTCTGGTTTTATATCGATTGTATTAAGAATATACCCTCTGTGAATAATATCGCAAAGGATGACAATATGAGCTTCTGAAGTCGGTTTGATTTCATTGTATTTGTACCTATTCGCCTATAGATGGAACTTGAATTCACTTCAGCTGGAAGAATAAGTCTTCAGTTTATATTCTGTTCCAGTCTCGTGACGCTCGTGACCTTCAAGACAAGCATGCGCTCAGTGAGGTTTTTTGTGTCTGCCTGGTTTCAAATTATGCTTCGATTGTGCCAGTTTTTTTGTGATTTACCATGGCTAGGAGACAAGTGAAGGGTGCTGACATTCACGGTTTGTTGGAACAAGATGTTGTCAGTGATTCTGAGTTGTCTGACAATGAAAATATCTCTTCAAACAGCAGCGGGATTGAGATTTCTAGATCAACTCCGCCGAAGCGAGAAGCAGTTCACCTGAGCGCATCAGTGAAACAAGTGACAGTGACCTTGGTGGCACAGTTGAAATCATTCACGGGGAGGTTGCTGAGGAGAGTAATATTCAGGCCCAACTCCATTTTTGTTATACAGAAACGCAAGGATCAAAGTATATCCCATCCCCACCTATGACCCCAAATCAGTATTTTTATCTGTTTTTCACCACATCCCTGAACATAAATGTACCGGTGGTACATAGTCCACTTGTGCTGTGTGACTTGTGCACAGTCAGTGAGAACGAGAACTGCAGTGTTTTACAAATATTGATATGATGAATAAACTATTTGGTGTACAATTTTCAAATTTTAACATCATATATAAAATGAATGGAGCTATCAGAAAACAACAATAGGTAATTATTTTTTCAAATATTTGAAAGTCAAAGTTTCGTTTTTTTTTCTAAAAAAAGTACGAAAAATATTTTTTATCTTCATAATGTGCTGTGATAGAAATAAAATTGTTCCTGCACAAGAATATACATTCATCATGCAACAACCGGGAATTTTTCCAGTTATCTGACTCCAAAAATGGGATGAGTAGAATTTATTATAAATAGGCATGTAATAGTATCTAAAACGAATTTAAATGGCCTGGCAGTTAAGGGACGGCCACTAGAGCGGCCGCCTGGCACGCTGGGTTATCCCTTTAAGAGCCGAGCAACGCCATATGGCGTCATCAAAATAAAGTCAAGGGGACGAATGATGCCATATGTCATCGCGCAGTCCACGCATGCGGCCGGCTTTTAAAATCTAATCTTAAGTTATAAATTCTTTTTCTACTTACATGATTTTTGGTCACCAGCTTTATAAGTTGTCTCTCTTCCCACCTGCGTCTTCTAACGGACTGTTGGCTTCATGTGGAAATCTTGGAAACATCCGGAAATCCAGTGTCCGACGTCGCACTTCACGCCCTTTGTCCGGACGGTTCTTTGTTTCCCACGCGAAAAGCACACATGACACCTAATTTCAAAGTACAGGAAGTCGGCCAGTGATGTGGTTTGGCCCCTATAATCGAGATATCTCCGATAAAATGGCAGGGGTTCGACCCCTGGGCCGTTGATGGCGAGGTGGACCCCTTCCAGCATGTTCCGCACAAGAGCGAGACGAAATTATCTTTGTGACAACAGGATGTAACTGTTCAGATCCAGGAGACGGAAAAATAGTTTATTTGTCCATTTCCAGGTTCGACGACAGATGCTATAACTGTTTGCCACAGTTTGCCCACAGCTCCACCTGAATAATTATTCACACTTCTCTTGTCATGCTGGTGTGGTGGTCCCCAGGTTGCCGACCAAGATGATGGTTCTTCGTCGAAATCAACCGCCAGTGATGTGGTTTGAGCTCCTCTAATCGAGGTATCTCCAATGAAACGGCAGGGGTTCGACCCCTGGGCCGTTGAGGGTGAAGTGGACCCCTTCCAGCATGTTCTGCATAAGAGCGAGATGAAATTCTCTGTGTGACAACAGGATGTAACTGTTCAGATCCAGGAGATGGAAAAATAGTTTATTTGTCCATTTCCAGGTTCGACGACAGATGCTATAACTGTTTGCCACAGTTTGCCCACAGCT